ATTCTTCATGTCAGCATTGTCATAGAAAGGCTTACAGCTGCAAAGTTGATAATCAATAGAGAAAAGAGTAAATTCCTTAGTACAGAAGTGCTACTACTGAGGTTCATAATCAACAAAGAAGGCGCAAAATAGATATCAACAAGGTTGCTAATGTGCATTCATGGACACCACCTACCAATAAGAAGATGGTTCAACGCTATTTAGGCCTCTTCAATTATTTTAGGGAGTATATACCCTTGTACAGCACGCTCACAGCACCTCTAGATGCCCTGCGCAATGCCAAAGGCACTTTTGATCTTAATAAGGAGCAAATGCGAAGCTTTAACAGCATCAGATCACTTATAGCCCAAGCTCCAGCCTTATCGTTCCCTGATTTTATCAGCATTCTTGTAGCCACAGATGCCTCTAACGTAGGCATAGGAGCTGTCCTATATCAGCTACCAGGTGGCAAGGAAGATGAAACCAAGGTCAACTACATATCCTTTCAAGCCAGAGCATTGCATAAGCATGAGAAAAATTACCCAGCTTACAAGAAGGAACTCTTAGCAATTATTTTTGCACTAATGAAATTTCACCATTACCTTTGGGGAAGAAGATTTACATTATATACTGATCACAGACCTCTGACGTATATTCATGAGCAGAAGGAGGGAGTTGCCACAAATAATCCTGAATTGGAAGGCCACTCTGCTCAACTATGATTTTGAATGTATTTATCGTCCAGGCCTGCTGAACATTATTCCAGACGCATTATCTCGCGCATTTCCTGAGGAATTGTGGAAGTCTCCTAAAGAAGAACAAGTTACATGTTCTACGAGTCGGCAGATTGCTTCTATGAGGCGAGGAACAGAGACTACCGAGAATGTTCAGGCAGCTCCACAGTCATCTGATTCGCAGCAGCTGCCTTCCACTCTACAGGTTATTGATATAACTGCTCCTTACTCTCATCAACTTCAGTTGGAGGATGCTTCTAGAAAAATCATCCAAGATCCTGAAGGAAAGCTTCAGCATCTTCGCCTAGCACACGAATTCGGTCATCCTGGAGGAAATGCCATGGTTACTGCTATCCATGCTAAAGGCTTTACTTGGCCTAAATTGAGAGATGATTGTCTCAAATGGGTTAGCCAATGCGGACCATGCCAAAGATTCAACATAGCTAGAAAGGGGTATCATCCTTTAACTGCCATACATGCCAGACTCCCAGGGGAACACATAGCATTCGATTTAGCCTCATTTGAAACCAGTTCCAGGGTAATAACTACGCTTTAGTAGTGGTTGACATCTGCACAAGATTTGTATTCCTGGAGCCTCTGCCTGATAAGGAAGCCATTACGGTGGCCAGCACCCTCTTCAAGCTATTCTGCTCTATTGGATTCCCTAAAATTATCCAAACTGATAATGGCACTGAATTCGTCAATGGAGTGTCACGTCTCATAACGCAAAGTTGCAAATAGAGCATAGACTCTCCACGCCATATCATCCACGCTCGAATGGTGTAGCGGAGAGGTTTGTCCGCACATTTAAGGACATCCTCAGAAAACAACTCGAAGGCATACAGAATGATTGGGACATCCATCTTCCAATGGTTCAGCTCCAAATGAATACTAGAGTCGCGAGTCTACATCATTCAACGCCATTCTCATTATTCTATGGACGCTCATTTGCAGGACTAACGGATTTTTCCTCAGCCGAGTCACATCTCCTGTCTGAAGAAGAATTACAGAACAGATTGGAATATCTCACCGCGTTAGTTTTCCCTGCTATCGATGATAAGAGTTCTGACACGCAAAAAAGAATGGTGGAGAAATTCAACAGGACACATAAAATCCTTCAGTTCCCACCTGGAGCGTTTGTCATGGCGAAAGAAGAATTGCCCAATGGTAAATTAGCACCTAAATACCAAGGCCCATACAAAGTAGTGGCTCGTACCGAAAATGGTGCCTACACTCTGCTAGACGCTACCAACCAGAAATTGGCTCGTAATTATGCTCCGAGCCAGCTCAAAATGGTCACTCAAGCTCTTGATGCTCCCAGTGAAGAGTCGTATGAAATAGAGTCTATCGTTGACCACGAACTCACGGGAAAAGGAATGATGTATACTGTAAAGTGGAAGGGCTATGACTCCTCATACAACGAGCAAATTCCCTATGAGAATTTTGACTCGGACATCATCATTCGTCAATATTGGAAGAACCTAAGACAGCAAAATCCTCATATTAATGACAGAAAGAGGAAGAAGCAGCAAAAGAATAACGCATCAGAGTCAACAAGACTTCTTAAGAGGAAGCAGAGACAACTCACCCATAACCAGACCAAACGGCACAAGCGTCATGTAGCGGCAAAGCTGTAAAGTGCAGAGAGCTGTTATATTAGTAGGGTTGAGATAACTGGAGTTTTTGTACAAATAAGTTTTCTCCAGTATGAAGAAAAGAGAGCACACACTCGTCCTCATTTCAATATTTTTTTTTTTTTTTGCAACAGTCAATAAATTTCAATTCAGCAACCATCAACTCTATTCTTTCCCTTGCAGCATGTGCAACTAGCAACTGGATGTGATGGCGACAGAGAGTTAAGAGAATCTACAACTTTCTCTACCCGTATGCGCATAGTCTTATACTTCTCTGATTGCTTGCGCAACTTAGTATACGTCTTGTAGAGGCGTTCATACCTCTTAGCCCATGCGAATTCTCTTTGGAGGCGGCTCTTCGCGGAATCATCGCCACTCTCCGCTATCAAACGGCTTCTCTTCCCGAGAGTCGTGCACACTCCACAGCTTGACAATTCTGCTTTCAACAACAAGAAGTTTTTCTTATTTTTCCTCAAGGCCTTTAGACAAGACGCCAAAAACCCTACATAAAATTTGGGGGGAGTTGTTACGTCCCGAGGCTAGGGAGTGTACCCAAATGGAGCACTCCCCTTTTTATTCATAGATCAGAGCAGTTAGTGAACAACTTTTGATCTCCTTGACTTCCGACTTACCATAAAATATTTCAAATTCTATTCACCAATAGGAGCTTCTATCCCCGAGCTTGAACATGCCTCAGGAGAGAGGTGGAGCTGTGGATAATGAGATCTTCAAAAATGCTCTATTAGGGGAAATTAAGGATCTTTATTTTTTCTTTTTGAAAGTTATAACTAATGCCACAGTGTCAGAGACAGAAACGCTTGTACTTATGGGTCGTGCACTTATAGGTTGTGCACTTATAGAAAGACTTTTAAGAATAAATAATTTACTAAAACCAATAATGACAGCAAAGTCGCCCAGAGGAAGAGCGCTGGGCTCATAACCCAGAGGTCGGTGGATCGAAACCACCCTTTGCTACAACTTTTGTCAGTACTTTTTCATTATCTTCTTGATAGCATTGTTAGTCGCTTTTTTTTTTTTTTTTTTTTTTTTTTCCTGGTGATCTTTTTTCTTATCTCCATTATATTTATTTATAAGTTTGTCTTGAAGCTGAAAAATCTATCTAGTCCTTTTCTTCTTTTGATGCGTGTCCAAGGTGGTGCACATGGCTCATTTGTCCGATGGCCAAGATAGGAATCTTACAAAACCTCTAAGCTCTAACGATATATGACCAAAACACGGTATTGGATGACAAAGCATGCGATTGCAGAATAGTGCCTTGAACGATCTTGTATATATTCATTAAAAAGTTGGACTCCAAATCATATAAAGTCTCTATATTTTTTGAATTAAAATAAATAGATATTAGTTGGTCAAGTGCGCTGTTATGCTGTGCATTTTTATGCGTATAATACATTAATACATTTGTATATAATTGCTCAAAAGTCAAAACTAAACGCGAATCGAGAATAAATAATAATAAAGATAGAGACTGAATTGGAGAAGTTTCTACTTTAACAAAAAAGAAGGCAGAAGGCAACGGAAATTATATAACGCATCGAATCTTATTATGCGCTTAACAAAGACTAAAAAGAATTGGAGTTGTACCAATGTGGGGTTTGGAGCAAGTACACGTTGACAATTGGCTATTGTTTTTTTTTTTTTTTTTTTTTTTTTTTTTTTTAAAAAAAAAAAACAACTATAAAAGATAATGTTTCTTGAGCATTCGGAATTTTCTATCTCTTTCTTCTTTCCCCCACATCACACTCCTCAATCGACTTAATTTCCTCTTCCCTCGACAGACGTTTCATCATTTAAAATGGTATGTCAAACAACACTTTGTTCTATTCATAAAGCATAGAAGAGTGCTGAAGGTTCCTTATTATTTTATTTATTAATATAATATATATGAATGTACATGTACATTCGCTTTTTTTTTTTTAAAAAAAAAAAAAAAAAAAAAAATGAAGGCAACACCACAGCAAAATATCAATTTTACACCAGAGGAACTCGCTAAGTTTAAGGAGGCATTCACATCATACGACAAGACAAGAACGGTCGCATTGCGACGGACGAGCTCAAGCAGCTTGCTGCATCTGTAGGCCAAGAAGCAAGTGATGAGGAGCTGGGCTTTGTAATCAAGGCATTTGATACCAATGGGGATGGCGAACTCGACTTTGATGAATTCCTGGGTCTCCTAGCAACACTTCGCTCAGCATCACGCGACTTTTAAAAAAAAAAAATACAAATACGTGGCCTGAATGGTCGATGACAAAATGAGATGTAGCAATAAAGAAACATGGTAGTGGGTTACTCTGATTGATTTCTTGATATCCTGGACGACTTTCTGTACTGTGGACACGTTTACATGTTATTGCCGTTATCGTGCTTTACTTTTTCCTTCCCACCCTTTCCACCCTTTTCACCTGATTTATCACGCAGCCTTGCAATTGTGGTACTTATGGGAGCCCTTTTGATGACGACATTGACCTGAAGCGGAATCAGGGCTCTTCTGAGACAGGCACAGCGGGATGACAGGGTGAAATTGCAGTTTTATTGTCATTTCGAGTATCCTATTTATATTTTACGTCCTAAATTGAAGCAGAGCAGGGTAATTTTTTTATGATCGGACTCGGCTGTTGCACTTTTTTGCTTTTGTCGTCATTGGAAGGGAATGGGAATAAAAGACTCTTAGGCGGATAAATTATAGTATCATGTCTTTCTTCCCTCTCTCTTTCTCTCTTGGCAACAACTTACTCCATCCATAATACATCAGTGGCCTTCATTTCTTCAATTAACATCTCAACAGCAGAAAGTAGCTGAATTCACAACAAACAAGTGGAGCCAGAATGCCTTCTATTGAAAAAAAGTATAATGACTGGCGTACAGAGTATGTGCGTGCCTGGGTGACATGTTTTACATTGATTACAACAAAAAAGGCGAAGTTGAACAAAAGAATGCAATTACTTGTTCTGAAGGTAACTAAATAGAAAAAGCGAAAAGTAAAATTAACCTTTGCAATTATTCCTCTCTCCCTAACATTTTTTTTTCTTTTTTTTTTTTTTGCTCTTGGGAATAATAATTAAAAGCCATTGGATATGGAATGCTAATATCTGTTCTAATGCGCAATCAGCAGGATTTTGATGGACTCTTGCGCTGGTTCCTTCACTTTAAAAACGCCAATGGGCTTTGTGCATGGCAGCAGATTGATGATAAGCATCACCGTACTTACAAAAACGCTCCAGAAGGAGGCGAAAACTCTGCGACCGATGGCGACATTGACATTGCCACGTCATTATTCTACGCCGCTAAAGTTTGGGGTCGCTCTCCTTGTGGGCGCTATGATTATCGTCAGATTGCCATTCCCTCTGTAAGGCGATCTGGGACCACGAAATCAACCATTATACATTCATGCCTACATTGGGAGATTGGGTCAAAGTGCCTGAGCCACCCAAGGTGTCTGCATTTGGTTATTCAGGCGGTGCCTCAGTTGGAGAGGAAAATGCATACGCAGAAGTAACACGGCCCTCAGACTTTATTCTGTCAGGATTCCTAACCTTCTATAATGAGGACCCCGAGCGTTCACCACAATGGGCTAAAGTCATGGATGCTATCATCACAAATGTACAACATCAATTAAGCCTGAATCCTACTGGCCTGATTGCAGACTTTTTAAAGCTTTCAACGAACGGATACTATGAGCCAGCAGCACATAAAGTCCTGGAAAGTGACAATGACAAAGACTTTAATTGGAACTCGTGCCGTGTCCCGTAAGTTTATTTACAGAATACGATGGTGTTGGATTTGAAAAAAGAAAAAAAAAACACTAATTTATAAATCATTGTTTTTTCTTTTTTTTTTTTTTATAGGTGGCGATTGTCAGTTTATTATTTGTTGACACACGATCCTCGCATTTGTCCCACATTGATGGCGCAATCATCATTTTTTGGATCACTCTCCGAAGTGTGCGCAGGATACCATTTGAATGGTCATAAGATTCACGATCGCAATTACTGCGATATGTCTTTTACTGCTCCAGCATCCCTCTGATGTGGACGATGCGCCATCCTAACCAAACGCGGCTCCAGGATCAGATGGAAAACCTTGAGTCTGATAGATCATATTTTGGTGACTCTATCCAGATGCTGTGTCTCTTGCAGGCAAGAAACCCTACAGGATTCTGAAAAGAAAGAAGACAATAAAATTATTGATAGTGATAAATATATATATTTGTAGTAGTCTGATATTTTGAAAGAGTTAATAGAATTGAATTAATTGAATCATAAATGTACTCAATAATATGGCCTGGGTAAATGAGAGCAGTCTGTGATTATGACTCTTTCCTTGATACAAACTGATCTTTTTTTTTTTTCCTCCCTTCTCATTCCTATTTGCTAACAACATCTCATTTCTGGACTTTACATTCCTTTCTTCCCTTCATTTTCTCTCGCTTAAGCTCTGAGTAAATGGCCTCGATAGAGAACAATAATAACAACTTAACCAGGGTTATTTTCGTTCCACTCACACTCAGGACAGTTTTGTATGCATGCCAAGGGTACGCTTGAGCAAGTTGTTCAGTCGGCGATCCAGCGTGGATTCACAATCTATGGCCTCTCCGAGCATATGCCTCGTTATCGTCCTGATCAGCTTTATCCTGAAGAGGTTAAAAAAAAAAAAAAAAAAAAAAAAAACATCTTGTCGTCTTCGATCAATACAAAACGAAACGTATACGACTAAAATATTGACTTATTTTTATTTTTTTGCTTTCAAGTCCCATTTGACAACTCAAGATCTAGAAAGGATGTATGACCAGTTCTTACAGGAGGCTGTGCGTCTTCAACAGAAATACAAGGATCAGATTTGTCTCCTAATCGGCCTTGAAACCGAATACTTTGGACCTGAATCTATTGAGTATGTTCGGAATCTTCGACAACCTTATCGACAGACCTTATTTGGCCCCACAGATACTTCATCTTCTACAACTACAGCTACAGCTACAGCTACAACATTAACAACGGCTGGTACTGTTCCTCCACCAATCACATTGCCGCAGGTACAATATATTGGGGTTCATTGCACCATATCCATGGAATCCCATTGGATTTCTCACAGGAATTGTATCTCAGGCACTGGAGAAAGTGGGTCATGGATCATGGCAAGTCTTGTTCCGAGAATATTTTGATGCACAGTTTCAAATGCTTCAAGGACTTCAGCCGGAAGTTGTGGGACATTTGGATCTGGTGCGCATCTTTTTTAGTGCCATTAATGGATGTCATCATCATCAGGGTAAAGATCAAAATAAAAGTCAGGAACAACATGAACAAGAAACAGCCAGGCAGAACCAAAACAAACTAACACCAGATCTTTGGGAACTTGTGAGACGCAACGTTGACTATGTAGTCGGTTATGGCGGACTGTTTGAGCTTAATTCACGAGCTTGGAAGAAAGGGCTTGCGGATGCCTATCCTCAGCGGGACATTCTCGAAGTATTTTTTTTTTTTTTTTTTTTTTTTACAAGTTGTATCAACATTTCCAATGTGTGCGCACTATAGTTTCTAAGTCTATTTTTTACTGTTTCTTTTCTTTTAGCATATCCTCTCAAAAGGAGGAAGGATTACACTCTCGGACGATTCTCATGGACCCGACGATGTCGGTATGTTCTACAACCCAAACTTGAAGGCATACCTTGAGAGATGAAATCGACCAGGTGTATTACCTCGCTCCCAATGACAGTGAGGATATCTATACTGAACATGCTTCACAGGGGGCAAAAGTAAATGAATCTTTCCAACATGTCCATGTCCGCTCAATACCTTTAGCTTCATTGAAGTTTTACGAAAATTAGAATAGGACATGTAAAAAAAAGAAAAACATTAAGGAAGAAATATGAGATTAGTCTTTTTTTTTTTTTTTTTTTTTTTTTACTTATGATTTTTCTCTTAAAGTAAAATAGTCTAGTATGGTTTATATGTATAAAAAGAAATGGAGACGGCCACCATTGCACTTCACATATTCAATCTTGAAGTAAAAGGTAGTAGCAACATTGACAACAATAACAATAAAAACAAAAAGTTAGCGAAGCATGGCTCCCATCAAGACAGGATTCTCGATCATAGTCTTCCAGAGTGCATTAAGGCGGGCTATAGTAGCCCCATCAATGACACGGTGATCGGCGCTCCAACTGACATTGCAATTTGCTGTGCAACCAGCGCTCAACCATCTTGCCATCCTCCTCAATCATCTTGAAGCGAGGCAAACGCTGCATGTTGCCAATGGCAGCGATTGCCACCTCAGATGTGACAATTATAGGATGCAAATTAGGTCCCCCGATACTGCCAACGTTGGACAGAGACACGGTGCCGTCCTAAGATCGGCTAAGGGAATGGCGTTTTTCTTGCCAAGTTCTTGCAGCCTAGTTAATTCAGATGCAATTTCAAGCACAGACAGATTCTG